TTTTTTTTTTTTTTTTTTTTTTTTTTTTTTTTTTTTTTTTTTGGTGATTTTCTCACCTCCCAAACACTTTGTACAACAGGAAGAAAAGGCCTAAGAAAGGATTTCCAAATTCCTCTGAAACATTCAGGAAGAAATCCAAAAACAAAAAAGATATGATATCGACAGCATAGTATCAACAACTGTGGAGCAGCCATTAATGGAGTCTGAACTCAAGGTGGGGGAAGCAGAGTAAGCAGAGCAGAGGATTGGGGGAGGATTATGTACTGAAATGCAAAACTGATCATACTCATCATACTGAAGCTGTTCCTCCTCCTACTCCTCCTCCACCACTCGAAATCCATGGGTGTCCTGTCAAAACATAACGATTTCCAATTCCCATGAGATTCATTTTCTATGCTCATACACAAATTTTCTCAGTAACCAAACAAACAAACAAATCCATACATCTTCTACCAGTTCTAGATTTGCAAACACAACTATGGATTCAGAATGGGAAATCAAACAGTTCAGATCTCATTGTTTAATTAGAACAAGAAATTAGACTTACGGAGAGCTTGTTCAGCAGAGATTCTTTTAGATACATCTCGACATATCATCTTCTTTATCAAATCCTTAGCTGCAGAAGAAACCGACCTGAAAACCCTAGTCGGAAATCTCAGATTTCCTCTAAGAACCGCCTCAAACACATCCGTCGCGGACTCGCCGTAAAACGGCCGAAATCCAGCCAACATCGTGTACAGAATCACACCGGCACTCCACACATCGACCTTCCGACCATACTCCGATCCTCTCAAAACTTCTGGCGCTACGTAGAAAGGCGTTCCGACGACACCGTACATAAATCCGTCTTTCTCACACCACTCAGCCGATCCGAAATCGATGAGTTTCAAATTGTTCCTGGAATCGAACAGCACGTTGTCAGGCTTCACATCGCGATGAACGACGCCATGGAAATGACAGTGGTAAAGCGCTTCAAGAAGCTGCTTCATAACGACGGCGGCTTCCGGTTCCGAAAACGGACGACGGACGATTTGATCGTAGAGAGAAATGGAATCGCAGAGCTCGGAGATCAAACAGAGATAATCATCGTTCTCGAGTACGTCGACTAATCGAAGAATGTTGGGATGGGAAGGGAGAATGGCCATGATTTTGGGCTCTTTCTCAAGGCATTCTTTGTCAGTTTCATCGACGAGATCGCTTTTCGCGATGGTTTTGCAGGCGAAGAACTTGCTGGAAATGGAGCAAAAACAACGAGTGATGATTCCAAATCTTCCTCTTCCGATCTCCTCCAGGATTTCGTACTGGCTGTTCACAATCATATCGCCCATTGTTGATGATTCTTCTTCTTCGGAAGGTCTTACTGAGATTTGGGGATTCTTGTTTCCTCGATCTCTCTGCAAATTCTTGTTGAAGTTTTCTCTCCAGTGGGAGTGGATTTTGGAGGAATCCGTTGGGTATAAAGAGAGATTTATAGACATCTAATGGGATCCTTTGTTAGAATATTACTCCCAGCAGTGACTACATCTAAATGAGAGCGATCATAAAGATAGGATAATAAAATAAGGTCGAAAAGAAATGAGTTAATATCTATACCAAATAAAATGCATCTTCCTTTTCAGTGGCTCAATTCTAATGGTTATGTGTTCTTTGTCGGGAGTAGTTTGTTACGTGTAAATAATTATATTTTCTATTTATTAATTGCAATTTGCTATTTTCTTCTTTTTTTCTTCAACCAATTAAGGCATTGATTTAATTGCAATTTAATGACTTTCCCATTTTTGTTATTTTATTTCCCTATATTTATTTTCTTTTTTTTTTTTTTAGTATAACAAGTATTTGGCATATTAGACGATTTTTAACCGTCAGCCAATTTGTCCGATACAAAATTGACAGATAACATCTCGGTATTCTCTTGCATCCCCTGTGATATCATCAAGATACCTACTTCTTGCTTCTAAAAGTGAAGACTATCGGCACAGATCAACATAGTCCATGCTATATTTTCATTCATATACTTTCTAGAAAAATTTTCAAAAGGTCATCTAACATAAAATTGTTCGAAGTAAAATACATTTAATTTTGAAGTTCATACGATTGAGCCATTGAAAAAGAGGTGTATCTTGTTGATATAGATAGTAACTTTTAATTCCTTCTTCTTCGTCCGTGTGACAACTCTCTTCCATTTCTCTCTTTTCCATCAACTCTCTCAGTGGCTACAGTGGTCATGGTTCGCCAGTATCTTCCTTGTTCAATGGCGACTTGGTGTGGTTCAGGTCGATAATGAGTCTCCTCTCATTTAACGACGGTAAGAAGTGAATTTTGGTAAGTTCGTGAGATTTCAAATGAGTTTTGATAAGTTATATACCCGTTTAGTACGATTTTTAAGGATCGGTATGATAAGTAGTTTAAGCCATTAAGATTGTGATATTTGGAGTATGTTTTGGTGTGTTTATGAGATGTGGAGTGAATTCAACGGAGTTAGGTTTGTTTGCTTTATCTTTAAATAGTTCGTTGGATGAGTATGGCTAGGGTTAATTCGTTTAGGTGAGTTGGTGGGATTTAAAGTATGTGTATAATTTGGTGAATTTGGTTGAGCTCGAGTCGTTTGTTTTGGCTTCAAATGATTAGTTTGGTGAGTTTATTGATGTCGACATTTTACTTTGACTTTTAAGCTATTTTGCTTAATTTGATACTCTCGGAGTGTGTAAGCTCAATTTGAGAAATTTTTAGGACTAACCTGAAATTTCGAGTCGGTTGAATCGGTGACCCAAAGAATCCAAATAGAGTTAACAATTCAACTCAATTCAACCCTGTGTTTTGAAATTGAGTTAGGTTAGATTAAGCTGAGTAGTTCTTTTTAAATGGGGCGAAGACAGGGAATTGGGTAGGGGCAGTGATGGAAAATATAATTTAGTCCCCGACCTCATTTCTCTAACGGAGAAAAAAATCTCCTTCGTCTAAACGGGCTTTGAAAAAGCCCTTAAGCAAGCCAAGCCAAGGCCCAATCTCTAAGTTAGGCCCATAAAATTGTGTTGTGATTATAATTATTATTAATTCATTTTAGGACGCAGGGGGTTAGAGTCGTTGACTCTAACGATCTTTTCTGTATATACTGCGACGTGGTCACATCACTTCTCAATTATAAGAACGAAGATTATCCCCACATACCACGAGTCATTTCAACATATTTTATCTTCACTTACATGCATCCTAGAAATTTTTTTAAAAGGTCACTCAACATAAAATAAGCATGCTTAGTCATAGAGTTCTTATAATTAAGTCACCTAAAAGAAAAATCTATCTGTATAGATAGTGACTTTTAATTCTTCTTATTTTTAGAATGATTTTTATTTGAATGTAATTTTCTTTCATTCATGTATCTCTTCTTTACTAGGGTGTCACATACCCACCAGCTTCTTAAATATTTAAAAATAAATAAATAAATATTTTACCAACTAACATTTTATTATAAAATAAGAAAAAATGTGTGGAAAAAATAAACGTTCACGATGGGACTCGAACCCACAATCTCCCGCTCCGGAGGCGAGCGCCTTATCCATTAGGCCACGCGAACTGTTTGTTAGAAAAAGGCAAGTTAAATATAAAATTTATTAATATTATAATGACATTAATAATGTAACCTTTGCAATTATTTTTCAATAGCACAACTAATTTGTTCATGTCCAATAAGAATATTAATGTTTAATTTCAATCATAGATTCAGCTTTTTAATTATGTTCTATTGTTTTTACTTTGGCTGATACTGTAAATATTAAAAAAATATTTCTACACGTAAGTTTTTATATAACCCCTAACAATTAGTTTATAATAATTTAGTTCTTATACTTTAAAATAAACTTTTCGGGTCTTAAATGAAATATAAGTTGTGTAATAATCTAACAAATTTAGGGTTTTAAATGAAACTCGAGTATAACCACCAAAGTAACATCGAAAGTGTGCATATTTGAACATAATTTTTTTTTTTTTTTTTTAACCTATGGTACCTCTCTAACAATTTTTCCTCTACAAAATTTTCGGGTGAATCTATGGATTCCTCTAACTCAATGAATGAAGGGAGGAGTATGAGTAAGGCTGACTGTCTGGATGATTGATTGAATGAGGGAGAGCTCTTTATGCTGGTCTATGAAGATTCTTCCTTTTCTGACATGCAATTACCCTCGTCACACTTAGGTCTATTGTACTTGAGCTATCGTGCGTGCGCTTAGTCTATCGCACTTGTGATATTCCTTGCATTTAGTCTATCATACTTGTGCTATTATTGCTTGCGCTTAGTTTGTCACTCGTTTTTAGATTTTACACTCTTCTGTTGTCGCTCTGGTTCTCACTTGCGCTTGGTTTATCACTTGTGCTCTATCTTGATTTCCTTCCTACTCTTTTAAGCTCAATTCAATCGTCCGACTCAATCACCCCATTATGTTATGTTCTAAGTTCACATACAATTTACACCAAAATCCCAAACCTTAAACTCAGAAAATTCAAATATTTCATTTGAAACCTTAATGCAAACAAACGGTTATATATCTTTATTTTGAAAGCGTGAGTTATGGGTACTTGTGATGTGTCGAATCATTTTTTTAGACCCAATTCAATTGTTCTAGCTGTAAATTTTTTAACCCAAAAAATCGGTTACAAAATAATAAAACCAACCCAATTCAACTATAAATTGTTTAGTTGGATTGATCGGGATGGTTCAGTCATTTATTTAATTTATTTTTAATAAAAGTAAAATGTTTGGGTAAAATATTTATTTATTTATTTAAAAATATTTAATTAACATTTATAACTTAATTTTAATATATATTTTAAAAAATTATTAAAAACTGAATGGCATTTTTGAAAATAATTTGACAAATCCCTCTTTACCTTTTCCTCTCAAAATCCTCGACGAGCCTTTTCTTTTTCATCTTCACTCTGCGCCATTTCCAGACCCTCTCCACCTCTCGCCGCCTCTTTCCCGTTCATCTTTACCTGTCTCTTCCCCTCTCCGCCGATCTCTCGTCCGCCGCCGTTCGTCTTTGCCGTTGCGGCTTCTTCTTCGTCTGCCTTTCTTCTGCAAAACCCTAATATATCCAGACCCTAGATTGAAGCGGGTAAATCTTAAGCTAGGACAAAATGAGGATTATGATAAAAGGTGGTGTTTGGAAGAACACGGAGGATGAGATCCTTAAAGCTGCGGTGATGAAATATGGAAAAAACCAGTGGGCTCGAATCTCGTCGCTTCTTGTTCGGAAATCTGCTAAGCAGTGTAAGGCTCGATGGTATGAGTGGCTTGATCCTTCCATTAAAAAGGTACCTTTCTTTCTCCCTTTCACTTGTCTTGAATTTTTCTTTTTTCTTTTGCTGTTTTTGTAACTGGGCACTGGAAAGTGGAGTGAGCTGCGGGTGGAAGGAGTTTCTGTTCCAGTTTGGTTTAGGATTAATAGTTTAGATTTAGGAAATATATGTTCGCTGTGATTTGATTTATGATTAAAAGTAAAGGAGACATATAAGATGAGAATTGAGAGGAAATGAGGGACGTAGGCCTTCCCGATGTTCTTTCAGGAAGTATGGTGGTAGTTGGTGATATCATCTAGGGCTATGCATTTAGGATGTTTGAGCATGGAACTGTCATGCTAAAAGAGGCTAAAAAAAAGTTAATGTGGGAGAAAATTCCCAAGGAAAGTCAGTGTCTTGGCATGGATTGTGCTTAATGGTCAACTTAACACGGTTGAAATTCTTCAGATAAGTTACTGTGGGATAAAGAATTTTGAAAGAAGAGAAAAATGTACCCGGGGGGAGTGCGTTTTCTCATGGGAATGATAATGATAATGATAATTAATGTTGATACTTGATGTCCGGATTTCTGTTGGATGATGTCCTATGAAGCTCAGTATGGTTTGATTCTCAAATCGGCCAGGTTTCCTGTTTTTGTGCTTTCATTTCCCTAGTTTTGCAATCTGGAAAGTCACCTCAGTTTCTTTGTTGTGGTAGGTTCTTTGGACTGACCATTTGATTTCCATGATTACTTTAGACTGAGTGGACAAGAGAGGAGGATGAGAAACTACTCCATCTTGCTAAGCTCATGCCAACCCAGTGGAGAACTATTGCACCAATTGTCGGGCGTACTCCATCCCAGTGCCTTGAGCGGTATGAGAAGCTTCTTGATGCTGCTTGTGTTAAGGATGAGAATTACGAACCAGGAGATGACCCAAGAAAATTGCGCCCGGGAGAAATTGACCCAAACCCAGAATCAAAGCCTGCACGTCCTGATCCTGTTGACATGGATGAAGATGAAAAGGAAATGCTTTCTGAAGCACGAGCAAGGTTAGCAAATACTAGGGGAAAGAAGGCAAAAAGGAAAGCCAGAGAGAAACAACTTGAAGAGGCCAGGAGGCTTGCTTCACTACAAAAAAGAAGAGAGCTGAAAGCTGCAGGGATTGATACTCGACACCGGAAGAGAAAGAGAAAAGGAATAGATTACAATGCTGAAATTCCTTTTGAGAAGAGGCCTCCTCCAGGGTTTTTTGATGTTGGTGAGGAAGATAGACCAGTGGAACAACCCAAGTTTCCAACAACAATTGAAGAACTTGAAGGCAAAAGAAGGATTGACGTAGAATCCCAATTAAGAAAGCAAGATATTGCAAAGAATAAAATTGCTCAGAGGCAAGATGCTCCATCAGCTGTACTGCAAGCAAATAAGCTGAATGATCCAGAGATGGTGAGGAAAAGATCTAAACTTATGCTTCCTGCACCTCAAATTGCAGACCATGAATTGGAGGAAATTGCAAAGATGGGATATGCCAGTGATCTTCTTGCTGGTAATGAAGTGCTTGCAGAAGGAAGTGGCGCTACACGAGCTCTGCTTGCAAATTATGCACAGACACCACGACAAGGAATGACACCTTTTCGAACTCCCCAAAGGACACCGGCTGGGAAGGGTGATGCTATAATGATGGAGGCTGAAAACCTTGCTAGGCTGAGAGAATCTCAAACTCCATTATTGGGAGGAGAGAACCCAGAGCTGCATCCTTCAGATTTTTCAGGGGTCACCCCAAGGAAAAAAGAGATTCAAACACCGAATCCCATGCTAACACCCTCAGCAACTCCTGGTGGTGCTGGTCTCACACCTCGTAGTGGCATGACACCAGCTAGGGATGCTTACTCCTTTGGTGTGACTCCCAAAGGAACGCCTATTAGAGATGAGTTACATATCAATGAAGACACGGACACACATGATAGTGCAAAACTAGAGTCTCAAAGACAAGCTGATTTGAGGAGGAATCTTAGCCTAGGATTAGGCAATCTTCCACAGCCTAAGAATGAGTACCAGGTAGTTATGCAACCAATTCCAGAAGATAAAGAAGAACCAGAGGAGATGATTGAAGAGGACATGTCTGACAGGATTGCTAGAGAACGAGCAGAGGAAGAGGCAAGGCAGCAGGCTTTGCTTAGGAAAAGATCAAAAGTGCTACAGAGGGAGCTTCCTCGGCCTCCTACTGCTTCTTTGGAACTTATTAGAAATTCTTTGATGAGAGCTGATGGAGACAAGAGCTCATTTGTTCCACCTACCCCTATTGAGCAGGCTGATGAAATGATAAGAAAGGAGCTTCTTGCTTTATTAGAGCATGATAATTTGAAGTACCCAATCGATGAAAAGGTCAGCAAGGAGAAAAAGAAAGGTTCCAAGCGCACAGGAAATAGACCTGCTGTGGCCATCCCTACCATAGATGATTTTGAAGAAACTGAGATGCAAGAGGTAAACTTTTCCCAACCATTGTTTTTTAACGTTCAATTTGGAATTTTCTTACTGTTATATCTTGTTTAGAAAAACCAATTTTGTGTCATCTTTTTATTTTTTAATGAGACTTCTTGAGTGGAGGTATTTTTCTATTAGATTGTAAAATTTAATCTGTTATAGATAAGATTGAATTTCTGTTTTTCTTTTCCTTGTAAAAGCCTGTGGAAGGGCAAATAAAATATATAACCATTGAACATAGTGCCCATTGGATTAGCTACTTTACTTGAACTATTGGGCTCTGGTTATTGGACGTTGCCACTTATGGAAGCTAATAGTTTTAGCTCTTCTTTTATTATTTTTGCCGAAGTAGATCCAATAGTGGTATGAAAAGCAATAGTTTCTATTAGACCTGTTGAGGCTGGTTTAGATGGTAGGGTGTCATTGATAGCAATTCCTGGAGGAAGGCTTGGAATGTGAGTACCCGCTTGTTGTGCTAGTGTTGTTTCTAGTGATAGTGGTTCTGTGGTAGTTGCCAGTTGCAGCTTTTGGGTGTTCAAACTGGTTGGCTTTGGTGTTTAAAAAGTACGATGATTGGAATATAATCCGTTTCATAGTTTGTTTGTATCATGCACTCTGTTTGATAGATTTTAAACATTTATGTCAAATGTGCTGGAGAATTACTATTTTGGAGTTGAAATGATTTTTGTTTTGCTGCACTTGGAAGTGAAGTTTATATAATTAAAGAAAGCTATCAAACAGTTAGAGTTTTAATACTAACTACGACTGCTAATAATTAATCCAAACTGATATGAATAATATAATACTATATATTTTATTCGATGAATTTATTTATTTATTTATTTTTTTGAGTAAAACAATGCATGAGTTGGCGGATCAAACCTCTGTCCGCTTGCGGAAGGCCAATGTCTTGACCAATTGTTTTGTTTTCTTACCTTAACCAGTCAAACCAAGTTCAAATTGGCTTATTTAATCAACTACTGAAGTTAATAAAAACTTAAATTGGTTTATTTACTGAAGTCTAATTAAATTTAACTAGCATGAATTTATTTCAAATTAATTAAAATATTAATGCTGACCAATATGATATGGAGTAATGAATATTAATATGAAGTATTATTAGAGGTAGTATAAAAATTAGTTAGTATTGACAAATTATCTTGATTATTTTGTAGTTAAATAAAACTAATTACTAAGTAATAGATTTTCTCATTCCCTATTATTCATCCCCCAGGAACAAAAATCCTATCTATTGGTAGGGTAGTATAAATCTTTATTGTATTTTTTAAAAAAATATTACTTGAATGATCATATCCTAGGTTTTAAAAGCAAAAGTTTAGCTAATTTTTGAAAGCTAACTTAGTATCTTTCTAAATTGATTGAAACATCTTACAGATTTTTTTCTGTAATCAATAATTATGCATTTAAAAATTTAAAATTAAGTTTGATGTTTTACCTGAATTTATTATTCTACCCTAATATTTCTCTGTTTCCATCAATGTTTTCAAAATAAATGATTAACGTGTGTTTACTATGATTTGCCAGTGTTTTACATGTATTAAAAAGTGTTTAATTTGTATCCAATTTATTCACCAAGCAATATTTGTTTATTTTTTTAAATAGTACTTGATGACTTACGTCGACTTATTAGAGTGTTTTTCAATGTGTCAAAGACAGGCACATTGCTCTAGCAGGGTTTGCTCTTTATAGTTTAATATGTTGCTTAGGGTTATTATAATATGCATGGGGCTATAGTATAAAACTATATGACGTAGATAGGTCCTCCCTGTTAGTTATCTTGTCTCATCCTCGATTATTGACCATGTTTGACATCAATTAAGTCACTGTCTGTAGGTCTTGGATCTCTTTTTATATAAAAAATCCTGAACCTGAAGGTGGATTTTACATTTTTACTCTAGTCTGCACTGCTGGTTGAAGGTCTGCAATGCCAATCCGGGCTCTTAATTAACTTTCGTTGTTTTGTTGGGTCATTGCTTTCATTATTTCAGTGACATCTCTCATGTGTGGTTTTTTTTTCTCTATAATATGCAATTTTTGTGCTAGCAGATTAAAAGATTTTCAGGTTTCTAAACGTCCTCTCGAAGTTATGACTTGAGGTAGCCAACTGTTTGATCCTATCCTTGTCATGCGCAGAGGTCTATGGTTACGGAAAGAGTTGGTTTTATTTATGTGTGTCTTTCTTTTCTTTGGTTCCATGGAGGAATTACGAGTTGTAATTGACATTTTCTATGAAAACCTTGTGATTACATTCCATTGATTCTTAGTTTACTAATTTAGTGAAGTAATTTCATTCTATCTACTTGATGTTTGTTTTTCTGTGTATTTAGTAAGTTGGTTGTTTGAAACAGGCTGATTATTTGATAAAGGAAGAGGCTCGGTATCTGTGTGTTGCAATGGGGCATGAAAATGAACCCTTAGAGGAATTTGTGGAAGCTCACAAAACGTGCTTGAACGATCTTATGTATTTCCCCACTAGGAGTGCATATGGACTTTCCAGCGTGGCTGGAAACCATGAGAAACTAGCCGCCCTGCAGGATGAATTTGAGTATGTTAAAAAGAAAATGGATGATGATACTGAGAAGGCTGTCCGGCTGGAGAAGAAGGTTAAAGTTCTCACACATGGCTATGAGGTATATATATTATTGTTGGAATGATCACATTTATGGCATCAAACTTCATCTCTTTTTTTTGTTTGGTTTCATTTAATTCTCTATTTAATATTCATTTTTTTCCTTGCTGATAAATATTTTCTGTTCCACAACTGGTTGATATGTTCCACTAATATTTCTTGGCCATTTGTTTCATTTTCACAAGTGAAAGAGTCTAAACTGTGTAGCTGGGGATTAAATATGTATTCCTCTTTAAGTGAATGCAATGTTTTGAATATTTTTGGAATTCCTCTTTCTTTTGTAAATTTTCAATGTCACACCTCAATTGATTCTAAATACAATGTTTTTTCTTTGAACAAGAAACAAACTTTTATTTAAAAGGATCCCACGGTTTCTCCTTCTCTCACACATTATGTTGGTGATTGTGATGCTGCTTCTAAAGTTAGTTTGAGTGGTGTGGAATCTACTCTTTAGCTTACGGCAACTATTATGGATGATAATGGTGTAGAAGATGCTTTTGGTGATGATTTATTATCATTTTTTCAAGAAAGTGACAGAGTTTCCTCATTCTCTTCTTTCATAATGCCCAAAGAGTTTTCTTCTCTTACTGAAACTTGTGGTGAAATTCTTCGTTTCATTCCCAAGACATTCATTGTTGAATTTTGATTGTATTGCGTTTGCGGTTCGAGTTGAGTGGTTCTTGCTTGATGTTTTGGGACTGAGTTTTGCATTTCTCCTTTGTGGTTCTTTTTGGTTGTGGCTATGATGTTTGGATCTTTTTTTTTTTTTTTTTGTTCAAGACTTCTGGTTCTCAGTCGTTGCGTTTTGTTTGGTTTTCAGAGGGCAATCTTTTGTGTTGAGTTTGGTCCTTCAGGCTTGATGTTTGGATCTTTTTTTTTTTTTTTTTGTTCAAGACTTCTGGTTCTCAGTCGTTGCGTTTTGTTTGGTTTTCAGAGGGCAATCTTTTGTGTTGAGTTTGGTCCTTCAGGCTTGATGTTTGGATCTTTTTTTTTTTTTTTTTGTTCAAGACTTCTGGTTCTCAGTCGTTGCGTTTTGTTTGGTTTTCAGAGGGCAATCTTTTGTGTTGAGTTTGGTCCTTCAGGCTTGATGTTTGGATCTTTTTTTTTTTTTTTTTGTTCAAGACTTCTGGTTCTCAGTCGTTGCCTTTTGTTTGGTTTTCAGAGGGCAATCTTTTGTGTTGAGTTTGGTCCTTCAGGCTACCTCTTTGCTAGTTCCTTTTGTTCAGGTTGCTTGATGTTTCTCGTTGTGGAAGTTATTTTCTATATCTTGTTCTTTTTTGGTTCTCTGAAGTGGTTTTTTTGTTTCCCATTGAGTTCATATTTTCACTTCCTTGTGGAGTTCGTATTTTTGAGCACCAGTCTCTTTTCATTTTTTCAATGAAAAGTTGTCTCTTGTTGGGGAAAAAAATGGAACCATTGAAAAAGAAACCATACTTTCGTTTCAAATTGAACTATCTTTTCTATCAAATATTCAGAGACAGGGCAATAGGCTATAAATAGCCAAAAAAAGAAAGGGTTTTGAATGCATATTTGGGAAACCATGGGGGAGTAAAGAAACTCTCGACTTTGTAAAAACAAATAATGGCAAGATAATAGGGAATCCGTTTTGATTGAGACCAAATGGAGGCAAAAGAATGAATTTAATTCCAAACGTGTTGATATTTCTATTTTTTCCTTAATACTTTCTTCTTTCACACTGCTTCCAAATCTCCCATAAGTTGGTCCAAGTATGTATATACTGCTTCCAAGCCCAAAGTAATCATGTTTAGAAGTAGTGAAATATGAGAAGCCTCTCAATGGAAAGTCAATTCTTGGTAGGATTTGAATTTTTGTACTGATTTTAGCTTTTCAATTGTCAATGAAAAGTTTGTTTCTTTCCAAAAAAAAAAAAAAAAAAAAAAAGGAAAGAAAAAGAAAAGAGATAGGATTTGGAATGCGCCTACTCTAACTGCGCTCATTTGGAGTTTTGGTTCCAAGTGACCTTTTGTCATATTCCATTTTTCTTAATGGAGGTGGTTTCTTGAAGAAAAGTAATTTTTACTCATTATTCCATTTTTCTATGCAACCTTCCGTTGGCTATTGCTTTGGGTTTATTGTGAAATCCTTTGTTTGGTAGGGTTCTCAAACCTATTTTTGGAATATTTTGGGCGGGTAGTAAACCTCTTTGTCTCTACTTCTTTGCTTATATCAACAATCTCATAGGATTGAATTCAATACTTGGCAGGCTTTGAATTTTTGTACTCATTTTAGCCTTTTAGTCGTCACTGAGAAGCTTTGTTTCTTGTTTTAAAGGAATAGGTTTGGAGTGAGACTATCTAATTTTGGGTTGGAAAGGTTTTGGTGGAAAGTTGGTCCTTCGGAAGTTTTCAATTTCTTAATGTAAAGTTTGTTTCCCTCCAAAAAAAAAAAATAAATAATAATAAAATTAAAAAAAAAAAAAGAAAAAAGAAAGAAGAAAAAAAGAAGAAGAGAAGAAATAGGATTTGGAGTGCGCCTCAAGAACAGAAGTAGGACGTGCAGTGCGCCCCACTCTAAATACTCTCCTTTGGAGTTTTGGTTCCAAGTGTGACCTATGGTTATTCCATTTTTCTCTCTGCAACTTTTCGTTGGCTATTGCTTTGGGTTTCCACATGTTCTTTCAGTTTGTCAAATCCTTTGCTGGGGAGGGTTCTCAAAATTATTTTTTTGGAAAATTTTTAGGTGCGTGGTAAACCTCTTTACTCTCTATTTGTTTGCTTATATCAACTATCTGATAAGAGGTCACATTTGGTGACCTCTATCTTGACGAAAGCGGATCACTCCCCTCCCATCTCTTTAGGCTTTTGTTGAAAAAGAGCCCTGTTGGGGGTATCGTATCTTGAGGCGGCATAGTGAAGCCTTGTTGGCCAAATGACTTTGGCACTTCTTCAAGGAGATGGATACCCTGTGGCATCGAGTTATTGTGTGCAAATACAATCCATACCCTATCGAGTGAACTTCGGGTAGAGGTACTAAAGCACTTTTAGAAAACCTGGAAAGTGATTTCTATTGGTCTCCCCCCAGTTTGTGAGATGCTTCGTAGGGAATGGGACAAATATCTATGTTTGGGAGGGGGATAGGTCTCTTTGCTTAGATTTCTTGTTCTTTATGATTTACATGCTTCGAAACTTCGCCATAGGTATGACCCCATATTTCATCTTTTCCTTCGATCTCCGTCATGTTTTATTTGATAGGGAAATGAATGAAGGTTGACCCTTCTTTCTTTGCTTTGGGATGCCTCGGTTGAACTTTGTTTCTTGGGCAGGGTGAACACCTAGGGGGAGTTCTCTTTAGGAGTGATGTGGAGGACCTAGACCATATTCTTAGGAGATAGTTCACTCGATTGTTTCTCAGTTTGAGGTGCGCTTGGCGAGGTACAATTCTTGCTCTCTTATGGTTGAGGTTATTCATCTTCCTTAGTCTTACAGGGGTGTTTTTTTATGGTAGGTTGGGCTTTTTTCACTGTTCTTTAGGGTGTTTGGTGGGCAAGGAGTAATAGATATTTTAGGGATTTTTAGGTTGATTTTCTCTCTTCCTTTCTTTATTTGTCGTGTTTCTGTCTATGTGCTAATCTGTACTGAATATTTGTGGTCATTTATTCATGGAAAAGGCCAAGAGTAATTAGTTGAATATGGTAAAGGCAGTCCATTGGGCTGATGGAAAAAAAGAAAAGTCCTAAATAATAACATAGGTAGAAATTGGGTGGAAACAATAGAAACAGCTGAGATTCCACTGTTCATACTTTTACCTTATCTCCTTGGAATTATTTCTCATATGGTGAAGGCAGTCCATTGGGGTGATTGGGGGGCTTTTTATAGAGCAAAGTAGGTTGCCTCGTAGCGTTACAGTTGTGCTTTCGTTTGGCTTCATGCTAACTTTTCTTTGGGTCCTTTCTGTAGTTCTCTCCATCAAACGAGTGAAAATTATTGTGTTTCTCATACACCTTGTGTATACTTCCAAGTTGTCTTGAAAGATATGGAAACACAATTGATCTCTACAAAGTTGTTTACTTCTTTTTCTCATAAGTTCTATTCCATTTCACTCATTTATTGCTGAAGCCATTTTTCTCATTCTCTCCTTTTCTTGTGTTGCTGGGTAACGTTCTTTGTATACTGATCATTAAACACACTCTCGAGGGGTGGAGGATGTGTGCTGGGAGATAGTGTTTGCTCTGTAATGTTCTTAAAGAACTACAAAACTGATTACAACACCTTGTGAAATTTGGAAGCCTAATTTGTTATTTGTTGACATTTCAGACACGGTCAAAACAAAGCCTTTGGCCGCAAATTGAGGCGACTTTCAAGCAGATAGACACTGCAGCAACAGAGCTGGAGTGCTTTGAAGCTCTTAAAAAGCAAGAGATGTTAGCTGCTTCACACAGGATTAGTGGTATCTGGGAGGAGGTTCAGAAACAAAAAGAGCTGGAGAGAACTCTGCAGCTACGTTATGGGAACCTTTTTGCGGATTTGGAAAAGATGACGAAAATCATGGATGAGCGCAAGGCACAGGCACTAAAGGAAGAAGAAATTGCAGCGGAGAACCGTGCTCTTCAGTTGGCCGAGGCTGAGGCTAATCGAACGGTAGGAGAAAATGCTGATAGTTCTGAAGCTGTGTCTGCGTTAGCAGTTGATGGTGAAAATTCTATGCCTCCCAATGAATTAACGGGTGAACAACAAAACTCTTCCTTGGGACATGAACATGAAGCTTCTAATGCCATGGATATCGACGCAGAGAAAGAAAGTGTTGCAGCGAGCTCGGATATTGGTTTACCTGATGACAAACTACCTTCTGCAGTGGCAGAGAATGATGCATCATCATCTGAAAAGGCTTTCGATGATTCTGATAAGAGTCAAACCATCAACGTTCCTTCACAAGAACTTGTGGTCCCTCCTGCTAATGGCACTCCAGACGTGGCCGTTACAGTGGAAAATAAGATCAGCAATGATTTGGTTGATGGAACTGCTCCTACCGAAAATGCTGAATGTAGTACCGATATTGTCAAGGAAGGTAAAGATGTTGAAACTCAGCAACCTGTGATCGAAGCTGGAAACTCGGATGTGAATTCGACTAATCTGGATTCTTCTAATAATGATGTCGTAGAACTCCCTCGTGGCGACGAGGAAGCAACGGAATCAAATGTGTAGGATGATGTAGATGATTCAGATTGTTTTGCGGCTTGTTTTTTTTCCAGTAGGATAAGAGAGGGAGAGAGAAAGAAAGAGATACTAATTCCATGAAGAGAGAAGAAGAGAAGGGCTGCGATGATATGCTTAAACAACCCCCCTTGTGATGATGATGCACAAGATTTGTATTGCTTTCTTTTTGTAGGATTTTCATATAAGAAATATTTCATTAAAGCTTTCATTATGCATGAGTATTGATGACATTTCACTTTGTTCATTTCTATTATACTCTGTCCCACATGTTATTAGTTCAACACCATCTCCCACCAGGAAATGGCATGAAGATTGTTCATAGTTCTCTGGAGTAATAAGGATTCTTCGGTCTCGGACTCGCTACTGAAGGAAGTGTAGCGTAGTCTCTTCTCGGTTAATCCTTAACGGGGTGTTTGGTTCAAATGTTTTGAAAGTGGAAGGTATAGGTTAACTAAGCCGAATTTACTAAATACATTCTATTCTTATTGTTATTTCTTATTTTATGACATTTTTTAGGCAAGTGTTTGAATTTTTTTCCTTTTGTTTCCTAAAGATCCTTAGACTTTTCTTCAGGGTCTCTTAGATATTAATATGAGAGAATGTATCAATATGGGAGATGAACCAAATGAATCCAATAGGTACATGAATCGAAGTGGGGAATGTACCAAAAGTATAAAGATCCGTTAACCAAATCTTCATGATAATTCTCAACTATGTTGGAACTTCTCACGAGCAACAACCTTTATCAATAAATCTACAGGATTATCAACAGTTCCAAATTTTAATAAACGAATGTCCAATTAATTTACAATTTCTTGGAAATCGGACATTATGCTTGTTGCAATTAAAATGAACTTGGTTCTTCAACAAATAAATAACACTCTATCTATCACAAAACACCTCTCTATGTGTTTTTGAGCAATACCAAGTCATTATCATTAACTAAATAGCGTCCTTGAAAGTTTTAGTGTAGTGACTGCCATCAATACAAAAGTAGACTGCAATATTAAACGTCAACAAACAGGTTCACCAACCATAGTAAACGAATAACAGTAGTGGATCGATGCTTAAGAATCTCAATTTGTCTCTTGGAAGCCATCAACACAAATAGATTGACAAGCCATCATCAAGGCACCATAAATACACACAATGATCAAATTGACTATGAACGTACTTATGCTCCACCATGAAGTGATCAAACTTCTTGAAATTTGGCGAAGAGATTGCTTTAACTCATACAAAGATTTCTTCCATCTGCATACTAAATATTGTTGCCCAACTACTCGAAAACCAACTAGCTATGCTATATATATTTCTTCTTCCAAATCTCCATCAAGAAAGTAGTTTTAACGTTGAGTTGTGCAAGCTCAAGATTAAATTGAACAACCAAAACCATCAACCAAATGAAAGAGAGCTTTATGCGCATAGCCTTTAGCCACAAGTCGACTTTATAACGTATGTTAGAAGAGTCCTTCTTTGCGTATACCCATTTACATCGGATCTTCCTTTTGGAAGTTGTAACTATACTTTATTTATTTATTGGCAAAAAAAATATATATATATATATATATATATATATTTTTGTGAGACCGGGCTATACGCATGAGATCATGAACACGTTTTATGTAAAAGTACTCACAATTACCATCTTAAAATAGTCTAATCAACGGACTTGGACTCATCTATTCTTTCTCTTCATTTAGAACCATCATTTGTATCACAAAGAAATTCAGTATAATGACTCATACCCAAGTTTCGGATCAGGGTTCGAAATTCGGATTCAATCTCTGATGGCCTTGACATTCTCCAGCGACATGGTCACGTTACTAAAAACTATGTCCATATACTAATAAGAGTCATCGAAAAAAGGTACATCAACTTGTTGGTATATGTAATAACTTTCAATTCTTTGTCATCCGATCCTCAAGATCACTTTCATTTGAATATAGTTCTAATTCATTCATTTACCTCTTCGTTATTCGGGTGTAAAAAATTAAAGCATTAGCTTTTGTGATTCGGGAATCCATTAAAAGAGAATCAAATATTGTATAGTTTTCTTTCACTACTCTTTCACAAGCAAGTCTCTTTCAAAAAAGGGGACAAATACAACAACTAACAAAAATTCGACAACTTTTCATATTTTGGTGTCCACGGTCTATTCATATGTTCTAGGTTAACTTTGATTCCTTCAATAATTTTATGAATTCAAATCAACTTTAAATGGATTCTCAAACACTTTCTTTTCAATAATTAACTTTTGAGTCACTATTTACATCTTCCAGGCAATCATAAGAGTCGGGAATCAGTCACTATTTTCGAGTTGTCTTATCCATGGATGATGATCAAGCTAGCACTCACCATGTTGTTCCCACTTGATAGAGATAAATCTTTGAGGTTGTGTTGCAACATCGGATACCAATTCGCGTTGCGTAGGCTAAGCTAGCTATCCAAAGCGATGAACAACAAAAACCCTTCACCTAGAGTTTAGAGTAAAACCAGTGGTCTTTTACTAGGTTAAAGATGCGATGAGGGCTTACAAGTGGGTGGTTTACTGTGTATATTTATATACCCACCCTTTCGTTTTCAGGAGTTCGCAAGCTATCGATTGAGGTAAAGAAGCATTTGAGAGCTTTGCAGTTATAGAGGGGCTCATTCCGGAGTGTTAGTCTGTCTTTGTATTTTATTTTGTAATTGTATCCCAAACCCATTTTTTCCGTTTGTAATAAATTTGACATCAAGACTGGGACATGCATAAGATAGATTCACATCTAATTTAGTAGTATAGGTTAGTATAAGTTGAATTGTATTTTCAGTTAATAGTATATGTTAGTATAGGTTGAGTTGTATTTCCATTTAGTAGTATATAGGTCAGTACATAACGTTTCATTCTGTATTGTTTTCGTTTATTTATTTTCTTTGAATTAGTTTTTTTCCACAGTAATAAATGAAACATGCAAAATTGAATGTTGACGTTATTATCTGTACCGTAGCGACCTTAGGTAGAAAATTTAGGGTCATTACAAATTATCTCATTCATAACTTAACTAACTCAAATCCCAACAACTTACATCTAACTTGACCAACTCGAACCCCAAAACATGAGATTGCATGAGACTTACAAGGGTTAGAGAACAAGACTTACGTGAAATATAAATATAAATATTTCCCGTGTCTTTATCAGCTTTCATATTTTATTCTCGACAATACTAATATTCGTTCTATCTTTTAATTTTAAAAATACAAGCTTTGATAAAGAGATATGTGATTGTTTTTTGCTATGTTCTTGAAGGATATATGCTTTGTATTTAATTGTTTCCCTAATAAATGAGATATGCTCTATTATTGGTTCATAATCAGTTTTACCCTTAAACTATGGGTTTCTAGGCATTGAATTTCGGAATAACTTTTCAAAAAGCAATGTGAAACAATTTATTGACACTGACTTTCAAGCTCCGAAGAAGACTGAAACTGGAAGTCCGGGTAACTTTGCAGCTCCAGCAATCTAAAAAGCTCACAATCCAATTGGAAGGACAAGAGCTATACTTCAAGTGTTCTTTTTTATTCAGTCGAGGCTTAGTGTTGACTCAAATGATATAAAAATCTTCCACACAATCTTATAGAAAAACAAAAATAATTTTGTATTTAATCTTTCAGGGTTAGTAAGCGGTTTACTACGTCATAATCTAGTCGATTTCTCATATAAGGTTTAGAAAATTTGACGTTTTATACCGCTTAATCCATTGCTTTGTTCGAGAGTTAGGATTGGTCGTATTCTTAAATTTAGAATGAAAAGAGGAGTCGTGCTTCTTCGAGATACTCACAACGTTAGTTAATGCTTCTATTAAAGGGAGGTGCACTTGTTCTCTAACCTCACTCGTAGCTCATAGAATAGATCATTCATACTTCTATTGGGAATAGACACTTTTTGCCTCGGTCATCAGTTTGCATTGAGTCTTCATTGTGTAGCTTAAAATAAAATTATCCAAAATATCTTTTTTGTTTTAAAATATGAAACTAAAATAAATTTGAAATTTTCATCCAATCTTGAACTCATTAAAATTAAAGGAAGAGTATATGAATAAACTAATACGTATTTGAGGTCATTGATATCATTCTTGTTCCTTTTGAAATGCTCTAATATACAATAATTTCTAGGAGCTATCATATTCGTGGGAAAATCTTCCCATTGATTAAGAATTTTTTTAAATATTTATCACATATATATGTATTATATGTGTATGTACACACATATATACATACATATATATATATAGAACGTTGTTATTTGCAGATGTATTTTCAATATTCTCCGAATTCTTTATGATTGTACATACTAGAAGTCATATTTTTCATGGCGTTCTGTCTCTTGTTCTTCATGTTCTTCATTTAGATAAAGTGTGCGATCCTAACAATTGTACGAGAGCTAGAAGACAAATCAAGGTTGAGAAGTTTGATGAATTTTATTTTAATTTATGAAATATGAAAATTAAAGATTATTTGTATTAGAAAAAATTTCATGAACCTTGCCGGAGTGAAATTGGATTCTATGAAGATAGAATAGAAGAAGTTCAATGATTGATAGACTCTAGAGTTTGATCTAGTTGATGCTATCTAGAAACGTGACATTCAATATCGTTAAAGAGAAGTCAATGTTAAATCTGTAGAAGGTGTTGTCGAATATGTATGAAGACTTGTCGACTATGAACAAAGCATATTTGATGCATAGATGGCTCAATTTACAGATGTATGAAGGTGGATCTGTTGCAAATTATATAAATGAATTCAATATGATTGTAAGTCACTTGAGTTTTGTGGTAATTAATTTTGAATGTGAAATTAAACATTGAGTTTGATGTATCTTTACCCATGTCATGAGATATTGTTGTTGTGATGAGTAGTTCCTCGAGATTTGAGAAATTGAAGTTTGATGAAATTTGAGATGTAATTCTAAACGAGAGTATTCATAAATGAAAAATTGAGAATTCATTGGACGTGTTCTGAGTGTTGCCCGAAGGGAAAGAATAAATCGAAGAGCTGAAATAAATATGAAAATTCCAAGCAGATGTGATGTCTAACAATCGAGGAGAGTGATGAATCTGAATTCAAAGCATTTTGCATAATTGAGGGAATCAGATTAATGAGCGACCCTATTTTTCCTATTATAATAGAGACTCTACTATGTGCATGGCATGATGGCCTTGAGCTCTGCTTTTCAGTCCAGATAGAGTTGGATGTGTGGTATTTCCCCAAACATAGCGCACATGGACCCACCA